TCATTCGGAATTGATAGTCTTTTCACCACTAACAGTATATTCATTGGACCGTCGCCAATTTGGCTCATGTAGTTTTTTAGTATTTAGAATGTAGAATCACGTAGAAAGGTTATATGCTGAGTGAATTATTCAAAATTATGGTGAATTATTTTTTGATGAATCGCATTATTTTTCAGTGAAAATCGAAAAATCAGTAAATCTCTATATAAGTTATAAATTAAGAATCCCATAAATTTTGGTCTTTTTTAGTCCTTTTTATCGTAATCTTAAGAGAAACATTTCATTTTTTATAAAATATTCCTCTTCTATATCAAATAATGGATAAAACAGATGATATTTTCTATTATTTTTTGAATCAAATTTTATTCTATTTTATTTTGAAACCAAATTCCACACACAATTTCATGTTTTCCACATATGCATTTCGAGGGAATATATGAGGAAAACAATATGATTACAGAAAATGTTCAATCACTGTGAGAGTTGCAAAAAAAGAACGTTATACTAAAATTTTTCTATTGTTCTTAGAAGTGAAAACCATCTCCTCCTTCAAAAAAAAGACGATTAGGACAAATATATTTTTGACGTGTGCAAATAAAATATAGTTGTTTTTGAATTTAGATCTTTATTAAATAAACTTGCTTTACTAATCAAAATAATCTCCATCTACTTCAGTATACTTCTGCCTATTTAGATATTATCTAATATTTAATAACTATAATGTATTAATATTTAACATATAAGATATTAATATTTAATAACTATAATATATTAAAATATTCATGTTTTCGATATTTTTTCTAATTCAAAATCAATGCAGAATCATTTAAAAAAATTCCTAATTAAGAGAATATCAAATTATTCTCTATTTCAATCGCATCCGATCGTAGATCGACTTTGCTGAGCAAGAAGAATATCATTAAAAATTCTTCTTTTTTACAGGATGGCTCCCAATACGCATTTGGATCTGTGTAATGATGTTCACCGCTTGCTGGACGAGCTACTCATGCCGTTTGCAAATGCCAATTCTGGTGGTGCCGATGATCACGGAGCCGGTAGTCAATTACACGAACGGCGGTGCATGCGTGTTCGACGAATCTCGACGACGTCGTGATGTTATCGTTAATCCCCTTGATCCTGTCAGCTACTTGGATCAATACGTTCTAGATCTTGTTCAGGAAGAACGGGATAGGAATTTACTACATTCACTGGAACGTCGCGAAGTACAACCAGTCAATGCACGGCCGCCGGATGCGCCCTTCGCACTTTTTAGCGGCCTACCATTCGACTGGACCCCGACAGTGCGAGGCCAACTTCTGGCCAGTTACAGCTACGGCGTCGTGCCCGGCAACTTCATCGGCGGCTGGTTATCGCTGAGATACGGACCGCGTCGCGCGATTCTCTGGACGTCGATCCTAGCCGCGTTAATCTCACTGATTAGTCCGTTCCTGGCACAATGTCATTGGGGTCTGCTATTGTTCTCCAGGATCATCATCGGCGTCACTGGTGGTGTCACCTTCCCCGCGTGTCATACCATGGTGGCAAAGTGGTCGCATCCGAATGAACGGGCGCGCATGATTTGGTCTTTACTGGGTGGAACGTTTGGCACGATATTGACCTATCCGATGATAGCCGGTATCGCGGAGACTATGAACTGGGAATCCGGCTGGTACATACCATCCCTGCTGATGCTTGTGTGGACAGTGGTGTGGGCATTGGTCGCTTACGACTCGCCATCAGAACACCCGGGCATCAGTACCGAAGAGAAGGACTACATTTTAACGTAATAGTCAAACGAGATCTATTGATGCCATTTCTATCAAGATAGAATGATCTCGGTTTAATTTACTGATTAGATCCAGTTTCGTGACTCACGGTTAACTCTTAACCAAGGTTCAACTTATTTCTCATCTGTTTCCAATTCTAGAATTACACAGAAGGGAACAAGGTGATTAAAACCCGTGATTAAAAAAGTTTCATAATTTACAGTTCACTTTTAACCGAGGTTCAATTTATTCTTCATCTCTTTTCAACTTTAGAATTAGAAAGAAATGAGGAATAAACTAAATCTCGGTTAAGAATTTACTGTAAGTTGTGAAACTAGGCCCAAGAGTTAATTAACCATAAGGTATGAAACTTGGCCTAAAGTCTCAGTACTTTCCATAGCGGATATAATACAAGCAACTTGGGTTGGATTAATTAATGCTCTACTAAGGGTTAACGTTAATGCTTTTATATCGATAGTAGAGCGTGTAACATCATTAATCCCATTGAACCCAGATCGGTTCAAACCAATTATGATTAAAGACACTATGAATTTCATTAATTTTTTTTTCTAATTTTTAAAACTGAAGAAAAATAAAAAGTAAATTAAATCAAGATTAATCTACACTGATAGAAACGGACGTGATTCCTTTGCAACGAAATCGGTTTAACAATTAACGTGATTCTTGTATAGTGGTCAAGCAGGAACGGTGCGTCCCGAGAAACCCCGATGGAAACAGACTCCGATGCTGCAGATATTATCGTCGGTACCATTTATCAGTCTAACCATATGCCATTTCGGGAATCTCTTCTTGCTATTCTTCTACCAAAACTCGCTCATGCTATATTTGACCAAGGCGCTGGGATTTCAATTGACGAAAGGTGGCGCGGCGGCCGGCGCGCCGTGGGGTGCCAGGATGCTATTTGGATTCTTCTTCAGTTGGGCGGGTGACACTATCAAGAGAAGGAAGATTATTAGCGTCACCCTCTTGCGTAAACTCGCGACTATATTCTGTAAGCATATCACACGAGGTTTTCAATCTGCCATAATTGTGTTAACATCTCGAAAATTTCGGATACGAAAATACAAGCTAACAAAAAGTTTGATCATAAAGTTTTGCCCTGCACAGAGCACCAAAATTTTATTATTATTTAATTATTAATTATTATATTTGATCTTTCATAAAAAATATATATACAACACTTCAGATTTTTTTTTTTTTTTTTTTATAAATATACGATATGCTATGATTTGATAAACACAATTTCTCGTGGCCAAACTCCTTTGTCACTCTGTAAAGCATATTTAGAATTTGAGTTAACGTTTGAGTAATCAGAATTTCGTTCTTTCAGCACATTTTATACCGGGCATTTTTCTGATATTGGTCGGCTATGTCGGATGTGACTTCGTGCTCGCGAACATTTTTCTGTTCTTCGCATTGGGCTTCAATGGTGCTGCCCTTATTTCTAATCTGTCGAACAATCAGGATCTCGCGCCAAATTTTGCTGGCTTCCTTTACGGTATCATGAATACAGTTGGTAGCACTTCTGGCATGATCATTCCACCGGTAGTCGAAGAGATAGCCGGCAAATTTGGGGTAAGTCTTCTCTAAATCAATTATTTTAATGAAAAGTGTAACTAATTTTTCTCTATTGAATGGAAAAAGTTATTATTATCATAATCTGTTGATTTGATATACATGTTATTTTTCAAATTATCACCTCAAATTTTTTCCTTCATAACTCTTGTCTTAATAATCACTTGTGATATTGTCATTCATTAGATTTATTCTATTATTTCGATTTGTATAAATTACTCATTTACAATATAACATGTATAACACATAATCGCACGATTATCGTGATTGTCAAGATCCTCAGTATATCACGAATTGTGTCACTCCTTATTTGTGTGACATTACATAATGACAACATGATATAAACGGCCAAACGAATGGCTCTTTTATCTACATCTGAAATATACATTAATGTCTCTTTAACCACGGTAATCTTGATTATACGGTTTGAGCGCGATTCTCGACGGGACGAGTCTTCGAATGGAAGAGGAAGAAGGACAGCGGATGCATGCAATGTTACACAACCGGAAACCACGTTTACGCTGGAAGTTTCCGATTGCCGCGACAAAAGAATTGTTTCCTCTTTAATTTTTTACACACAAATTTGTTTTAATCCGTTCGTCCTCTTTCAATGAAATGTTGCTTATTCTTTGCATTTGCAATCTTTTTATATGAAAACTTTAATATAAATCCATCTTTTCCTTTGTATACTAGAATCCGATTGACAGATGGCAGATACTCTTCTGGATCGGCGCCGGGGTATGTATTGGAAGTATGATCGTGTTCCTCTTCGGAGGTAGCGGTAATATACAGAAATGGAACGAACTTCGGCCGCTTGATAATCTAAAAGAAAATGTAGAGGCTGGGCAAACCAAAATGGAGCCAATTGACAGTACCGCGCGGACTTAATCGAAAATTTTAAGGGTTAATCTGTGTTTAACAATGAAAAGTCACGATAGACAAGTTTAATCATTGACAAGAATGTTCCTAAATAGAGTGTAGGATACATTCGAAAAAGACTGAAAAATTAGGAAATTCTTGAGGAAGATTTAAAAAAATTAAATTGAAGATTATTTCAGGAATCAAAACTTTTAAAAGATATTTGAAATTAGATTTAAAAGAAATACCTGAAATAAAAATATGTATTTAACAAATATCTAAAATAGTCAAGCTACTTAAAGAAATACACACATATATATATGTGTGTGTGTGTGTGTGCGTGTGTGTGTGTATGTGTGATATAATTCATACCGTATGTCACTCCTTTGTATAATTTCGTTTGTTATTTATGTACTTCCATATTTGACAATGTCAAATTTCATTAAATTTACATATTTATACATCTCTACATTATTGAATAAAGAATTGTTATTCTCTTTTATTTCATTTTAATATTTCAATCAACTGATGTGCAAATATCATATGTTTTGGAATTGAGATATTTCATGTATATGCAAAATATTAAAATAACAAAAATGTATATAATAAATTTTTATCTGAACTTTTTGTATCTATATATAATTTAACGATCCATTATTGAATGCTGTATCAAGGAAAAAAAGGAGAAGAATAAGGATCTGTGAACAAAGTTATATTAATTACACTTTAAGTTAAGATAATGATTATTACGAAACTAAAATAATTTTTTCTAAGCGTTTATCAACAAAGTTGTTTATGGACGGTGAAGAGTAATGCACATAATTTATTCCGCGCTTTTTACATTATCTGATTATAGTATTTAAGCTTGCTTGCATCACAGATTGTTTTACGCCACAACACAATCAATAATCTTCTAAGAATAACAAATTCGATTATTTCTTTGTATGTACATAAATATCAGCCAGCAATTGATTTCTGAAGTAGCCATCCAAGTTCTTCCACAATATAATACCGTTCGTCGGTTTTAAATAATCACTCTCTAGAATAGCGATACAACAGCATTCTTCGCGCACATGGCATCCCAATGAATTTGGCATATTCCTCCACTTCACGTCTTTCTTCTTGCGTTGTGTGGCACGTTTTCCGCAATGTTTTATATTTCTCATATGGCATCGCAATATTCTTGTATAATATCAATACCTAAAGAACATGTTTCAGAGTAAGTGCAATAAGAAAAATTTTAACACTAATAAAATTTAATTATAAATTTAAATTTTACTAGAATAATACAAAGGTGTTTATTGAAATCTTGAAAAAAATTCTCTAAGAATTTTCGGATTTTTTTTAAACGAAGTTTTAAAAAAACAATTTAAATTTAAAAATAAATTTCCAAAAATTTTTCCAAGTCCTAATAAAATTTCATGAAAACCTGATTTTCAATGATAAAAATATTAATTCCCAAAAAATTCCACATTTTTCAGGTTTTCCTAGATAATAAACATTCTAACATACTAAATATCGAAAACTATGAAAATGTAATTGTTTGTAATAAAAGTGTGATAATTGCTTATAAAATCATCTTGAAAAGTACCTCATTAATATCGACTACACCATTTTCGTCAATGGCATTAATTTCATCATTCAAACGACAATATTTTTCGTTGTTTAGTTTGGCTAGACAGGGTTCAATGTTGCACCACACATATGTCTCCGGGCATAGAAGTTTCGATGGCTGCATTCTGGCTTTATATCGCATCTTCTGACACGAATGAATATAATAGCCCATGTAATAGTATTCCAGATTGCTTGCGACCTTGTTGAGCTGTCTCGTTAGATAAATCTCTCGAAGCGAACTGGAAATAACACATTTATTCAGAATTGTAACTGATTTATGAATTTTATCACGTATATCACAATTTAATGTAAAATACTGAATTTTGAGAAGGACAAACCTGAAAGTTCCGAGAGATAGTTGACTATATGTTGGATCATAAAAAAAGTATACGCTCGAAATGCACGACGGCAGAATGTCTATTACTCCTACTGCTACCAATTCGTTATCCAACCAATATTGCTCGTGAAAAGAGCCGTATCCATGAGATGGTCCATTATCGGGTATCCATTGCTTAAAAGAAAGCAATTGAATTAAAATATTACATTATTTTAGACCATATTTTGCTTTATTATTATGTCCGTTCTTTTCAGTTAAACTGCTTGTGTAATTCTTCTTTTCTCTTTTTCTCTTCAATATAAAAAAAAGTAAGAAAAGATGAACTGTGCAAAAAGTTTAGCTAAAAAGAATAGGCCTTTTATAATAATTATTTTAAACTAGTAATTAATACTAGAAATCTCAATGATTTTTATTCACTAAAAGAATCGACCAAATAAATTACTATGAAAATAAAGTTGTGTGTGTATGTGTGTATATAAAATCAAATATTTTATCAGTATAAAAAGCACAATTATTAAAATAAAAAAAATTCACAATTCTTTGTAATATTAATAATATTAATAATATTTATCTAAAAAATAGAAACGGTCAATAACAACTACTCAGTACTTTTAGTGTTAAAATTCTGAATGATTCAGTACACACTAGAAGTACCGAGCATTTATATTATTTAGATTATTGACCGTTTCATTTTTTGATTAATATTATATTTCTTGTGTAAAAGATAAAATTCTGAAATTTTTTGCATAATTATTTCAATTATTATATCCTTTATACTGATGAAATAGTATTTGATTTCAGCAGTTTTTGATTTTTATAAGTGTGAGGTTAAAATATTGTGGTGGTTCGATTTAAAGTCAAATCTTATTCATTAAATTGTTAAATTTACTAAAAATGTTGAAAAGAAGAAACCAAAAAAAAATTAAAGATTTTTAATTTTTAACGTAAATTCTTAAAAAATATGATAAAATTGGCTTACATGATTGTCATGATTATTTGACGATTTTTGTATAGTTGTTGTACAGATTCCATTAGACTGTTCAGTTTACTGTGTATCGAAATTTTGAATAAATTAATATGAAGTTATTATAAGTAATAATTGATATCAAAATTTAGTTCATTTACATGAAATTTAAATGAAAGTTATTAAACACAACATTAACTGTTTGGCAGACCAATGTAAAATGAAATTAAGAGAAACAGTGAGCAATGGAACATGTACCCCAATGATAATATGTATAAATAATAAATAATAAATATAAAGAGATTAGATACAAAGTGTACCTGCAAGGGACTCTTCACAAGGAAGTTGTAGAAAGCCTTTTGATCGCATTGTTCTGGTGTATCGCCATGAATCGTCATTTGATACTTTTTATAAAGATTCGCGCTCGTTTCAAGAGTGTTCAGGAACTCGTCCGACATTACTCTCACCAATTTCATCTAACAAATTTATAAACGTGAAATTTTCAATGTTTTGCCAATAAATAAGGTAATATCTGATATAAAAATTACTATTGTCATCAAGGAGTGATAATGCAATCATGAGTTCCATATTTAATTAATTATTTAATTAAGAGGCAAGGTCCACTTTGCTCCAATCATGATACAGCCGTCTCCATATAGCATTTGTTTAACTATCGTGAAAATTAGCGTTGTGTGACTTCCTATTAATATATCGCAACATAGTTATATAAATAAAATTAATCAAACATGGTATAACAGTAGATAGAAAATAAGAATTGAATCGCAAAGCTTCTATCTATTATATGAGAGAAAATCAGAAAGAAAAATAAATGTATTTATCCCTCACGTACATTACAAAATATATATATATGATATATATATATATATATAATATATATAAAACATTATTTCTCAGTATAATCACTTAACCGCAACACATCTGAGGTATGTTTTTTGTTTCTACACTGTTTGAACTAGTGCACGTGGTGCAATAAGTTAAAATGAAATAAACATATATTTGTTTCACTTCAACTTATTGCACCATGTGTACTAGTTTAGACAGTGCAGGAACAAAAAACAGATCCTTTATATAACGGTTAATAAGTTCTTTTTCCATTTACAGTTCTTATTCCATTTACAAAGAAATTTTTTATTTGTCTCAAAGCCATGTATGCACCATTCCTAAATTCCAAGACAACTGAAACTTGAACTTCTCCTGTATTCTACAGTCCCCTGGGTACCTATCATGGAACAAAGTCGGAATGGAATCCGATCGGAATTGTTCAATTATTTCCTAGATTTCTATTATGTCTTTTAGGGAAAACGGAATAATTCCGATCGGAATCCATTCCGACTTTGTTCCATGATAGGTACTCAGATTTTATTTCCGGTTCCTATTTGTTTGGATTATTAAAAGAAATCCTGCATGTTCAATGATACACCAGTGACAAAATTCAGTTGCCTTTGATTGTCCTCAGCTTTAAGGACAGCTAAAAATCTTCCTCACCAATGGAATTAGACGACTTGAGGACTGTTATGCAAAATGTATAGCAAAGCTCGGTGATTATATTAAAAAATAATATGTATATTTTGTAAATATGTATTGCACATGAAGAATAAATAAATTCACTTTTTTTATTTACTCTCATAACTTTCTGTGCAATTTATCGCATAACAAACTCAGATTTATTTCAATTTAAATCTACAAATTACCTGTAGAGGCGACTTCACGAGAAATCTCATGTAATGTTGCTCTGTGAGCTTCTCAGGCGGTACTCCGTGTATTGTGTTCTGATATTTTTTATAAAGCTCGTAAGATTCTTTAGAAGTCTTTCGATATTCAGAGCTCATTGGTGCAGTTCGAACCAGTCTCAACTTAAAGTGTAAATAACTTAACATAAAACTCTATCTGAACAAGGGAGCAAATAATTATCTCTATAAAACACATGTAAACTAATAAATTACTGCAATTAGTTTATAAACAAATCGAAAAAAACGAGTATGAAAAAATGATATAGATCAATTTCGCAATGTAATTTTTAAATACGTTGAACTTTCAATATAGAGCCAGCATTAAAACAGCATTATTTAGCAAATATTTATTATTATCGAGTTTTTGATTTATTTTATTATCTTTGTTTCATAAAAATTGGAGAAAAGAGGACCATACTGAGATACATATGAGTAAGAAAGAATCTTATTCCACAAATAATAAAGAAATAGGAAACATCTGACAAAATGAGTAATGATTTTAGAGTTTAATCATTGACATTATATTACCTCTAACTTCTTCAATCCAGTGTACACTTCTTCGAATAATTCCTCCACAGTCCTAATACAATTCTGTTGCTTCTTGTCTCTCATGATACTCTCAATTTCGCTCTGCGATTTACCTTGAGCCAGCAATTTATTTTTCTTACGTTCTATGCGTAAGAGCTTTGCCTTTTTGCAAGGTACTACATTGACAATTTCATTTCTAACGTGCAGGCTATTTTTGCTATTAGCAGTTGTTAGCTGTGCTTGACTGCTATTCGATACAGAAGTAGGATTCTTTTGAGTTTCTGTTTTCACTAGATTGACAGACAGTCTTTCATCGACTTTATCATCAACAGACAAAATATTGATTTGAGATTCGTCTTTCTGCGCTCTCTTCAGATGCTTAGAATAATTTAATGCTTCTTCGTTGCTTATATCTATAAATATTATAAAATTAATGAGCTATTCACAAACATCACTGGCCACATTTAGCAGAAAAGCACTTATTTTAAGATCCTGTAATGACTGGTTTTTATTCTCAGTTCCTTACTGGATTTAAATGTATGAAGTAGATTTAATTTTTTGTATCACACTGAAATCAAAACAACCTCAGAATGCATTTAATTTGTAATTTTTTTTACTTCATAGAACAAAAACTGAATGTGGCAATCAGTTAAATGCACTCTTGAATCATTTTAACTCCGGTGTGACGTTACAGAACTTTTAAGAAGTGTGATCACACGAAGAATTAAAAATCTTATAATTACAAAGTTGTTTTTGCTATTGAATGCAGTCACTATTATACACAGATCAAAATATTCTAAAAGGTTTACCTATATTATCTTGTTGATCTTCGTCTGTACCTCGAACATTATCCTTCGTTAATTCATTCTTCAAAAATTTGGTCATCCGTTTTAAAATCTTTTTCTGAGACTTTGATATTTTAAAGTCTAGAGCCTCGCATCTAAAAATCATCATTCATGTTAATCATATTATATTTAATATGTCAAACTTTTGTTTTATTCATAATTATGCAAAAATCATTTCTTCTTTAAATTTAGAAGTGATAAAGGTCACTTATACTATACTACACTGAATTATTTAATATTATATTAAAGATTGCTTTATATAAAAGCTGTATGTTTATATATAATAATACATATGTTATAGATTTTCAATATTGACAGTGAATTTTAGAACATAGCTAAAGTATCTAATACAATAAATTTCTAGGTTTGTTCCCGTTGTATACTCCAACATACTCCTACCATAGCTCCTACTCCAAGTGTGTTTGAGGGAGTAGAAGCTATGATTGGAGCATATTAAAGCATATAAGTACATATGATGCAAATAAACTTTATATAATCAACTTTAATAATAAAATAATATATATATATATATTGTTACATAATATTTATTGTTAAGTACTTGGTTATTTGAAATACTCTTATATACTTTTACATTTGATTTTCCTAATTTCAAATATAGCAACTTTTAATACACACCACAAATTTAGTTTTAATATAAATTTTTTTTAATATAAATGATTGAATTTTCTATTGTTTATAGTTAAGCAAAATTGTCTCTCTTTTAAAACTTAGGAAGTTCTCTTCCTATAGTCAGTTTATTCTTATTACATAAACATGTATATAAAACAATTAAAATAGAATAAAAAATGATCAACAATATTTTATACCGTTATACATAATTATTGTTGATTTTATGTTACAAAATATTTTTAAAATGACAAAATAAAAGTTAAAAAATACTTATTTGATGTACATGCATCGTCCATTTGATATATATTCTCATTTTTTTTTTATTAAAAAATATAAATTTCTTTGAAACTGGTAGATCAATTTAAATGAAATTTTACAAGAACAAATTTAGGCATTTACTTCATAATTATAATGATTTTTAAATTAATCTCTTATATACGCAAGTGTCTCATTTTGAAAGAAAATAATTACAGAATATGATTATACTTTGTTATAACTTGTAATATAATATTCTATAAATTTAGAATTAAATATCTTTAAAATGGTACGGTAAAAGTCAATGACATTTTTTCTAGATATTATTGATATTATTAACTTTTGCATTATTTGTATTATTGTATATAAATATTATTCAATTGTCTTATATTTTATCAAATGCAAGAACCTCCTTAAGAAATATTACTTACTTAATGGTATATTGTGGACAACAGGTCTGGTTCATCATGGGTTTATAACAATAGCAGCCGCTCCGCCTCCATCCTCTATCTATCAAACTTTGGTAATCATGCACTGTTAATGAATGCGCCCACATACCTGTACAATAAACGACTTATCAAAATAAAACTTAAATTTATTCCAGAGTGTTTTGGTTTGCCTTTTTACAGTTTTTGAAGAAAGAACATAGCTTGTTTAACAAAACGACGTGAGAATACCAGAGGTTCCGTGAAGCAAAGTTTTGTGCTTACCGTGACTGAAGTTCGTATTGGATTTTTTGCAGTAGCCGCATCGATACCCCTCGTGTTCCGCGTAATATTCCACGATGCTGTAAGATTGCCTGCCAGCCATATCAATGATCTTCTTCGAGTTACTTACAATTAGATTCTGTTACTATTGTTACGTGGACGAATGTTCAAAGCGTTCAAGGCCTACTCCTTGTTTGCGTTGATTCGCGTATGAAGACTATAAAGTCAAGCACCTTCGGATGGAACGGCGTCGTTAATAATAAATCGCAACTGTCAATTAAAGTTAAAGGGTTATTCCTTTACCATCTGGCTTTTAAGCTCACACTTTTATCGTTCAACCTCGATCTCGACTGTCAAATGGAATCGAACATAGTTAAACGACTGAACTAGACTGAACTGAACGTTATAACTCAGAGTCTCAAGCAAGAGAACATCACGAAGTGTCAAAATGCAATTATTAAGCCGAAAACATAATAGTACTACTTTCAAGTTGACAAAGCACTTTCAAGTTGAGAGCGGACATCTTCTTCTTCTTGTCGATTATAATTGGCCGGGTAGCCGATCCAACGGCAATCGTCAAGGCCAGTAACGAAAAATCGTAATGTGTAAACGAAACAAAGTCGTAATATGTAAACGAAGAATGATGCAATGCCCGCGAAAAATGGCGAAACCCGAACGAACACCGGGCGCCTGCGATTGCAACGTCGTCACGCCACTTTAACGCGCGTCCGGACGGACGAACGAGCCGAGCCAAACGCGGACACACATCAGTAAGGAAATTCGAGGCACGGTCAAAGTCGGCAACACTTTCTCAAAAATATACAAAAAACGAACACCCGAACCGAAACGCGTCCGCACCGGTCGGGTGGTTCAACGAAACTTGAGAGCGGCCATGCCCGAGATTTTTAAGCTGTACTTTATTTTGAAGCGCCTCTTATGTCGTTGACATTGAACTATGTAGCTAATGTCTACGATCGTGTCGGTAATGTCCACGATTGTTTGGTTCGTGTCTTCGCAGGCTTCTCTCGTTAGCACAGACACGCATCACATTCTTATTTGACACTATAATTTTATCGACAGTTTCGCCATGCTTCTGGGTATCTAGTTCCCATATCACAAAAATGAACGCTAGTATCGATTGATTGTCTGTCTTTGTCTGTCTAACGGATCGATAATCATGGACATAGGGAAATAAAATAACCTAAATAGTGTCGTCAACTTTAATGATTAATATCTCGATTTGCGGGGCACAACAATATTTTTTCTGATTTTTTTTCGATTTATACAAAACCGTGTCAAATAATTGGTTTTAGTAAGCTCACCTCTTTCATAATCATCTAATTATTTAACGAATGTCAAAGTATAATATTCAGTTGTATTCTCTTGGACAAGCTAGAAATTCTTTTTAGCGAAAACCGCACGCGGATAAGGTAAGGATGAGAGTAAATGGTTTAAGGGTATATATAATTGTAAACCAAGTCTTCTTTCTGGCTTGTATATATGCTGAAGATTAATCAATATATTTTCTTTTTAGTAAAAATCTCTAGAATTCTTTATCATAAGTTCAGGCATTTTTAAGGACAAAGGCGACAATGTTTTTGAATTTTCCTTAGAAGCTTTTGTGTGTTTATGTGCAATCAATCGACAGTCAAAGAATGGAGAGTTCCGGCGAAAGTTCATCGAGCAATCCAGTGCTTATGCGTGGCGAGAGAGTGAGTGTTTCATTTACTTAAATCTTCCATTTCTCGCATGATTTGCTTTATAACATAATTACTCTTGTGTGGAATATTAAATTAGTTCAAATGTAATGCACTTGCTGTATAAAGAACTTTAGCTATTTTTGGAATGAAATATTTGCCATTTTTATTAAATATGACTAATAGACATAGCTACATTTTTAATAATAGGAATATGACAACTTCTTTCATACTTTTTACCTTACACAACAATAGAGACTTAATTTCTTTTATTTAATTTTTTTATCAATTTAATCTGCCTTTTTCCTTTAATTTTATAGGGTCTAACTGTTTCAGTACGTTTTTAAAACATTCAATTCATAACCAAAGAGCTGAAGAATTCGGGGATACTAATATAATATATAATTTATTGATATATTTTTGTATACAACTACTTTTGCATATTGGTCACTCAATTAATTACTAGGGAAAAGGAAGATAGTTAATCATTGCCACTCTGTTTACAGAAGAATACTCGAGGCTCGAGACAGAAAGCCGTGGATAATTTGAGCCAAAAGTTTTTGAAAAACTTTGATCCAGAACATAGCGAACGAGAGAAGCGTAAGTTATATCGTCGATTAAATCAGAGCTACAGGAAGCACCTATACAACGAAGACGGTATTTTTATACGGACATCGGATGATCTCTGCGACTGCTTGAGCTTGGATTGTCCAGGATGTCATTTTCCATGTTCCAAATGTACTTCTTCAAAATGTGCCCATGATTGCAGGTTATTTTACGAAATTTTTTGGTATGTAAGTTGCTCTGAGAGTTTCCACAAGATATTAATTCATTCGTTCAATCGTGAGACATATTCAAAGTTGACACTTTCGAAAGAAAATTAATTTATCACGAGAACATTTTTGTGTGATGATTTTCTATGATCTTAAAAAATTGCTAACTCCGCTACAATGTCAAGAGTCTTCGTTCGGCATTTGACGATAAAGCACCAACTCAAAGGACTGTCTATGAGTGGTATGCGAACTTCAAACGCGGTTGAGTAGAACTCATTGACGAATCTCGTGAAAGTCGTCCTGTCACGACGCGGGGCACTCCAGAGAACATCAATGCTGTATGTAACTTATTACAGGAAAATTATCGCACGACTTACAGAGAAATAAAAGCATCCCTAGACATTGGTATGACACAAATCAAAACAATCTTACATGATCATCTTGGCGTCAGAAAACTGTGTGCGCGTTGGATATCACACGATTTAACGGAGGCCCTCAAAGAAAAGGCGCGTGAGGCAAAGAATGGTGCAAAGAAATGCTCAAAAAATATAATCATGGTCTGTTCTGAGCAGTGTATGACATCATAATAGGTGACGAATCATGGATTTATTGCTATGAACCGGAAAGCAAACACAGTCGAGTGTGTGGGTGTTCCCAGATGAGCTGCATTCAACAAAAGTGAAGCGCGGCAGAATTAAATGTTGGGAAGAAAATGATTGCATCGTCATTCTTTAGGAAAACCGGTCCTGTTGTGTCTGTCGTGCTTGAAAATCGTCATACACAACAATTTTCCTGCCGACTGTATTTGAAAAAATTTGTCAAAGTCTGCCAAAAACACGTATCATATTGCATCAAGACAATGCATCGCCGCATAATGCAGAGGAAACAATTCAATTTTTGGGCCACTGCTCATGTAAAATTGATGACTCATCATTATAGTCCTAATCTGACCTTGTAACTTCTTTCTGTTTCCATTAAGGATAAAATGCGCGATTTGAAGTTTAATACACCAGATGCAGTGGTGGAGGCGTTTAAAAATGTAATGTATGAGGTGCCTCGAGAAAGATAGGCAAAATGTTTCGACGATTGGTTTTATCGAATGGAAAAATGTATTCTCTGTAACGGAGATTATTTTGAGAACATTAAAACCAGTTTCAGAAATTAATTATACGTTCGTATACGATTTTGTGGAAACTTTCGGAGCATCTACGTATCTAACGAAACGTCTGATTTGTTTTATTGCAAAGTAATGTATTCGACTCGTAACTTTATTAGGAACAATCGCAAATGGACCTACGACAGCATTCATTGCGAAGGGACCGATCCTGTGATCAAAAATCCACTGGTGTTAAAATAAAGTATGAATGTAAAACACGCAAATGTGTATCTGTGTAAGTATTTGTACATAAAAACCTTCAAGAGAATTATCAAATTTTTATTATTATTCTTGTATAAATTGTATTTACATAATAAAGGAAAGTAGATTAAATAAATTCTTAGTATTACTTGTAGATAAAAAGATATGTATTTTTGTACAATTATACGAGAAGCAAGAAAATTTTACTTTTTAATTCCAAAATGTTGTTTAAACATTCTCAAATTAAAAATATAAAATTTCACCCCCCACATTCTTTATTAATTTTGTTTACAATTAAATTACTTAAAATCCTCATAAGGCTTCAGCTAGTGTGTGTTTACGAAATTATTTTAAAAAACCTATACAGTCGCAAAAAATTTGAAGAAACTTTAGGAATGCCTGCATATCAATTATAAGCTTATTCTCTAAATTGAGAATAATGTTTCACATTATGTGTCACATATTATTAATTTGATAATTTTATATTATGTGAAAAGACTATTTATTTAAATTTTTTTTTAACTAAAAGAGCGACTGTCTCACATATAGAATGAAAATCATCATAGTTTTGTCAGAATTCAAATTGGCTGAAATTGCAACCGTTCTCTGTGACTCGTGAAATCGTGAGGGCTTATTATACAGACGAACTTGCATAGCTGCATAAATGTATGCGTAGAGAAAATTATTCAGTTGCATTTCATGTGCGACCTTATGATGGAAATGGGACTGACTATGGAATTTTAATACGTATTTCTGCAGCTATGCAAGTTTATCTGGATAGATCTTGATTCACACACGCGCGCGCATACATAAGAAACGCGCGCGCGCTCTCGCTCATTCACATGTGCACGAAAGCGCTATTGATTTTTCGCGCGGCGGTGCGCACACCCCACGCGCATCATCCACACCACCACCACGTATGCGAAGCGCGCGCACTTCGTTTTCGTCGGCGCGAGATCATTCAAGTTGGCGGGATCCACGGAAGGGACGGGAAGGGAAAGAAGCGGGGTGAAAACGCACGTCGTGTGTCGATCGCGAGACGGCGACCTCGGTCGTCGATCGGTGCATAAAACAAAGGAGACACGACGACGTGGCCCGATAACCGTTGAAATTGTGCGGGTCGCCCTCCCGCGCGCTCGTTCGCCACTTATATGCACGAAGGTGGCCGTGGCCGCCGCGCGCGACTAGGACACGGAGTTCAGGGGGGGGTTGACGTTCGGACGGGTGGCCGCCGCGCAGCACCTAGGCCGCCTAGTTCGCCGCGTCGTCGCGTTGCTTCGCCGCGATTCCGTAACGGGTGTAAACGTTAAACCGCACGTAACCCCGACGTAAAGAAACAAGAAAAGCGCCGTCCTCTGGTCGAAACGCGCGTTTTGGTGAAGCCCCGCGCACGCACCGTACGCCCTCGCACGCGCGTACGCAGCACGAGTGCACGCGGATCACGCTCCGGCGTGGGTTAAAAACTGCGGAGTGTGACAGCCGCGCGAGGAGCATCGTCGACCGCGGCCGAGAGCGTGGCCCGTCTGCGGAACCGAAGAGAGAAGCCGCGAGAAGATCCTTCGCTGTCGCTCGACCATACAACGGCAAGTTGTTTTCCCATCTTGTCGCAATTCATCTCCGTCCGCCCTTCGCCCTTCGACGATTCGCAGTTCGCGACACTCGATCCAAGTCTCGAGGGCGACACGACGTCCGTGACGTTGTCGAACGCGCTGAACGTCGCCGCTTATCGTCGATATACTAACGCGACGATGGCCACACGATTTCCGGGGTTGGTGCCGCTTCGCTGCGTCCGTTTCTCCCCGTGAAACCGTGTTTCGCGTTTACCCCCTTCTCTGTAATTAAGAGGTCCGTAACGTGCTCCGATTTGAAAAAGTGCACGAAAGCAGATTCGCACGGTGAAATTATCGCGCGTTTATCGCGAGATTACATTACGAGAAGAACGAAGTTAGGTACAGATCTGAAAAAATCTTGTTCGATCATCAAAATAATTATGTACGACACGCAAATTGGTTGCTAGAGTGTCTGAACCTTTCGCGACATTGCTGTTTGAGAATCATTTTTTCGTGTACTTGTATATATAGATAACTGATGTTATTCGTCACAAAGTTGACGTTAAAGACGTATAATAACTTGCTACTTGGGCAAATTACTGTTTTTCGTTCACACACCCGAGTTTTCCAATTTTCGGAGCTCGTTGCGTTTCCAGAGCGGATTTTCAGTCCGCGAAATCCGAGCGTCGTGGAGAGACCGAATCTCGACACGCCGCAAAATGTCGCGCGTTCCGACGGCCGTCGGTCACTATATTCAGAGAAACGATCCGCGTGCAATCCTCGTCGCGCAGAGGACCGCTGTACGATGAAAGACGTCTCGCCCGGCGAAAATGTGCGATGAATGACGGATCAAAATACGGCCCGCCGGCGAAACGTGATATATCGTGTAACTTATTACGTACGAATTCGCGGACGATGTGTGGAAACTGGAATCCGGCGAAGTCAAATCGAACTACTGTGATATGCATTTGAGGAAGAAGGAGAGAGTAGAACGACTGCAACGCAATTTTCCACGAATGACAGAGGTACTCGCTTTCCGTGCCTATCTTCACGGTATTCCAGCAGAATCAGAAACGAGTGATTCGAGAGTATAACGTCACGCCGTAACGATCGCGGAGTTATATTTCTGGCGGCTTGATTGCTCCCGTAATTTCGGTGAATTTTCGTGTCCTGAATATTCCGACGTCGCACGAGACCCGTTCCTTTGATTTCCGCCGATTTGCAAATACGACGATTTGCGAGTAAAGTGACATCAACCCTTCACGGTCAGATCACCGCGTGCGTCAAAATGATCCGAGCAGGATGTAAGTTTTACATAATTCTTTTAGTGTTCAAATTAAATTTTTCATTGCAACACCATTGTTCCATTTTCTTGAAGGATGAAATTATGTGCTGTAAGTTTTCGAAGTCAAAATGGAATTAATACTATCGATTTAGTAGCACTTTAAAAATGGTTCAGGTCATTTAAAAGCAGAGTAACCATCGTGTGACTTCTTTAAAATGTGACTATGATGGGTTAAATATAACTTTTCGTGCACCCCCCCCCCCCCCCAGCGTGTAAATTGAAAGTCGAAATTGCGCAAAAAAGTCTGAAAAATTATTCTGATGTTTGTTAGTGCACGACTTTCTTTTTTTATTTAAAATGATAAAATTTAGACTTTCTCTTATTAACGTGCGTTATATGTAATTTTATAATAGCTACATGTCAGTTTGCTTTTTTAATTACAATTATGTTGGTGTTTTGTTTACGGGAATATTACATTGTTGAAGCTATGGTGTCAAATTTAATTTAAATCGCCACTGCTCCTACTCAACGTGTCATTTTTTTCTGTATTAAACAATGGATAAACTTGATACTCTTATTAAGACAATGGATAAAATTTGACACTATATAGTGTCACATTCATTGTTTCAGTAGAAAAAACAATAAAGAGAGTAGAAGCAGCGGTGACCTAAATTAAATTTGACACTTTAGGTTTAAAACAGTATACGAATGAGATAATATTTTATCTCTCTCTCTCTTTCTTTTTCTTCCTCGTTCTTGTCAACAAAATCCTGATTTTTTAAATTAAATTTTCGAGAGAAAAAAATTAGGTCGACTTTCACGCTTTCTTTTCTCCTTTCCGTTGTTTAATCTCAAATATACTAAGTTAAAAATTAAACGTGCATCTAAATGGACCTACTTTCATTTCTCTTTTCTCTGTCTTTCTCTCCAAATCTGTTTTTCTTAATTTTGGGAAAAGTACATTTGAGACGAAACAAGCATATTCGGATTGAGCGGAGAAAAAAGGAAAAGAGGACTGCAAGATGATACAAATGGAAAGAACAGATTTTTCGCAGTCGGTCGCACCGGTTAAAGATGATCCGTCTTGACATGCATAATGATGTAAGCAGCAAGATTTAAACAGTAAGTGAATCAATCATTCACATCCGAGAATTTAAAAATTGTAGGTTTACGTTCTCAAGATTCTCAATTTTGATGAGTTAAACTCTTACTGTTTATGTTTTGTTGTTTACATTTTTATACTGGTGAAAAGATTTCGCTGTAATGATTCCACGTTTTGGAACATTTCGGTAGGTGAAGTAGGTGAAAATTTGTTGAAATTTCAGTGAAAGTGAATTTTTCTAGCTGATATACTGAAATTTTGCTGAAAAGCGTTCCAAAACGTGAATTAATTTCAACGAAATTTTTCCCCCAGATTATCGAAATAAAACAGAAATACGTTCGTACACGCAAGTGAAATATACATAACATTCGACAATTAGGTACGGGAAAGTGTAGGAGGAAGGAGAGACACGAACAGAAACAGACCCGCATAAAAGACCACGCGAAGAGGCGGAAGGGACACGGGGGGGTGCACACGGTCGGATGCGGTTTCGTGGGTGTCGTCATCGGAGAAGTATACGTCACGAGATATGCGCGGAAGAACGTAACCTTTCGTGGGTTCAGATTATTCACCGCGTGGGCGAAGCGCGGAGCGGAGGCCGTCGCGTCGTGTGCGCGTTCATACACGAGGTGTTCCGTTACCATCAAATATACTTTTTCGCGCCGCAAGGAGAAGAATTGTTTCTCGAAGTATTTAAAAATTCGCAGCTAGATACAGGTCTGAAAATCATTTTGATAATAATATGTAAACAAAAGAATGTCGAAACTTTCTGCTTGTCAGTCTTATTACTCTCATCATGCTTGAATCAATAAGTTACTTTGATTGTCTAACAAAATTATATTTTCAGATCTGTTTCTACCTAAATTTTTACATACTTCCGCAAAATTGTTCTTCTTGTGTATTTATACACTTGTACTTGAAAATAAGAAAAATATATATATATACATATATAAACAGGATTGTACAAAGAGGAAGTGCACCAGTGATGCTCATTTGGTCCTTGCCGATACAGAGAATTATCCCCACCAAAAGACTCTTTTGCTATCTCGCGAGAAGAAAAGTGGTGGGGGTCAGTGATGCCTTTAGCCCCCGACACCACGGAGAATCATCCCCACCACTTTGTCCCATACGAGACTCTCTCTCGCTATCTCGTTTGCTCTCGGCGCGCTGAAGCGAGAGAGACAAAGGGATGGGGATGATTCTCCGTGGTGTTGGGGGCCGAATGTACATCACTACCCGGCACCACGGAGAATCATCCCTATCACTTTGCCCCATACGAGACTCTCGCTATCTCTTTCGCTCTCTCGGCACGCCGAAGCGAGAGAAACAAGGGAGTGGGAATGATTCTCCATGGTGTCGGGGGCTAAATGTGTATCAGTGGGGTGCACAGCGGGAACGTTGAACCAGAGTCTCTCTATAGTCTCTAATGCTAAGGACTCCAGAGTTTTATTTGACGTATCCATTTTATATCTATTGTTTCTCTCTAAATCAATCACTTTTTTACTTATTCATAACTACATTAGTTATTATTAATTATTCAATTTAATTTGCACATACAAATGATATTCATTTATATTTTGTTTATACTCTTCAAATAAAAGTAGATAATAATTTAAATTTGATGAAATATGTAATCGAGATGATGCGATTTTTTTAACCAAATAGCTATATATATTTAACTTTCTAACAGAGATATACAATTAGCGGCTTGTGATCTGGTACAATTTTATTTATACTGTTTCGTTATATCGTCTAAACTTCTCAAAGCTTTTTTAATACATAATTTATGAATCTTTACTTTTGCACTTTCGCAAGGGTTCCAAAAACCCTTTGTACGTCCTTGTATACATATATGTTTGATATTCGAGGGGGAAAGTTTTAGGATGCAGCCACAATAGAAGGAATAAAGAATTAGAGGAATAAGGAATAAGAAATTTCAGCCTATTAGAAGCTATATGTATCCGATTTCTTATATATATATATAGGTTGAAATTTCTTATTCCTTCTATCGTGACTGCATCCTTAGTATCCAGTGCAGCGACAAAGAACTTATAGTTACAATGGTTTCGGAACACCCGATATAACTTGTGTGTCGTCCAGCAGGTCGGGTGGTGTGATCGGGGGTTTGAGGAGGGTGATCGTCTCGCATATACGCACGCACGCGCACGCACGCTCACTCCCTACTCCCTTTCATTTCATCTCATCCCCTACATCGTCCTCTCTACGCGGACCCCGAGTGCCGGGGGTTTAAGTCGTCGGGACGGCAGATGTCAGGATGCCGGAGCAGAGTAACGACTATCGTGTGGTCGTCTTCGGGGCGGGCGGCGTTGGAAAAAGCTCCCTTGTGCTGCGCTTCGTGAAGGGGTCCTTCCGCGAGTCCTACATCCCGACCATCGAGGACACCTACAGGCAGGTAAGCGAGCGGTACACAACCTTCTTTGACATACGCGATTCCACGATTTTACTTTTTCACGAGCGGACGGTATATTCATGGTCGCCTTAGAGACCGATCGCACGTTCCTTTTCACCCGTAACACGTGTGTTATTAGGTGATTGATTTTTTGTCAATTTACCGGAGATAACGATCGCGCGCGTGCTTGCCGGTGAAAAAACATTAACTGAAATTTAGCTGATTTTCTCTCAGTCTCTCTCTTCTTTATGCACTCAGAGAAATTAGACATGATGATAGCTATACAAGTTTTATATGTAGAATTAATATACATGGTTGAAGAAACTATTTTATGTTGAACAACTATAAAATAGTTATTCAACTATGTAGAAAAGAGTGAAACATCTGTAACATAAGTCATCACAGGAGTATCGTGGAGCATCAAGTGTTTGAATTGACCGCGTTCGACAGAAAAAGACAGTTTTGCAAATGTTGTAAAATTCTTTAATATGATTGGTTCTTGCTTTTGGTTTCTTATAGATCTAAATGTATAAATCAATTGTATACTGAAGAATTTTATGAAGCCGTTTTTCGCAGTCAGTGATGCAACTAGTATGTGGCTGTTGCTCATTACTTTGTTACTTTGTGTAATCACCCATATTAGGTGACTCTGTTGCTTCGTGTTAATAATTTTCGTGATATAAAAGTAATTTTTTAATCATTTAGAAATGTTCTAATATTGTTTTTGTTGTAAAAGATACACGTATTGAAGATAGGATAGAAGTTTATACATATCTTTCATCTACACTACAGATATAATCGTTTATCATTTACTTTTTAGTAATTTTCACCGTTTTTGACACCATGGGTCATATATTCAATATTCATAAAATGTAACAATATAAAATAGTGTATGCGTTAGAAGGACAGTTTATAAATTAAGCAATTAATTGTATTTTACTTTTATAGTTTTGTATTCTATATCAATAGATAGCTATTTCGCATAGTTTTATTTATGGATTCTTTATCCTTGTTGTAGTTCTTTATTAGCTGTACTTATGTTCATTATTACAGTCAGTGGCTGTGCTAAACGTGTATAAATTAATTAAAATTCCTTTTCATCTTTTATCATAATTTCTTAAATAAACTTACATTTGCTTATGTAGAGTCTCAAGTATGGAATATTTCGGGTCATTTCTCGAAAGAAAAAAAAAATGTGTTTGTATTTCTTTCTTAAAACCAATCAATATTTATTAAATATATTCAATAAATTTTTTAAAATATCCATAATTCTTTAATTCTTTATAAAACTGAAATACCAAATCTTATATTTAAAAATATTTTTTAAAGTTTAAATTTTTGTATTTTATGGTGCTTCGATTTTTCTAACACATTAGTTCATTCAAATATATTACACATTTAACTAGTACATTTAATTCTACATATAAAACTTGTATAGTTATCACCTTTATAATTATTGTCGCTATGTTTCTCTCTGAATGTAAATGAGACCAAGAACTAATTAGAAGAACTAATTGATTCAACCGAAGTAATCCCGTGTTTTTTGCTTTGAATTTCTATGAGAGAATTAATTTTTTTTTACTGTATATATAAACAGTATAGAAATAGTACACAAATACGTGAAAAGAGTATTTGAACAAGGTGGATCTTCGTCTCACACGATGTATACAATATTAATATTTATAGAAATAAAATCACGCTCGCGGTATTATCGCGCGCTCGTAATTGACTCTAGTTAACGTTTCGTGAAACTGCAGCAACATGACACGCTCGGTGCCGTGCTGTCTGCTTATCGATTTCGACTCACGGAAAAATTAGAAGTGCCTTCGCTCGCGCACGTTTACCGCATCGAAATTGACAGATCAGATTTCTATGTCGTTAATTATAGATCGTGCAAAAACGGACTTTATGCACTTGGCACATCGGATGCGCCACGTAGATAGCAATTTCCGCGAGAGTCGAGATTTAGCGATTAATCGGACGTTCCCGTGTCTCCGCGCGCGTCCACCAGGATCGCGATAACTCCCGCTATTTACGAATTCAGTATCCCCGCACTGTCGTGCATCCGTCCGATAATACGGAAGTGACATATGCGCTAGCAAAAACATTAAATTTGCAAGCGAATTGCTGTTACAACATCGAGAATATCTGACAGTTTGCGTTGATACACTGATAGCGGAATTAGTACAATATTAATAATATACCATAATGAGCTAACGCGGATATTAGTTTGCAAAAAATAAGTGTGTAAACATTTCGATCACTTCTTTTGGTTTTCCAACAAATGTAAAATTAATCTTTATCTCCTATCGTGGGTCACATAGTAGTGACTAAACAATTCCTTACTTTTTCCCAACTTATGAGTCTCTCGATTATAATTTATACTACATTTTGTTATTTTCCAAAATAAAGTTTAAACATTTATCCTAGAAAGTCGAATATATGTTCGTGAATTTTTTAGAGATTTTTTGAACTATTTTAAATAGGTAAATATATGATCGAGTTCTAGTGTTTCACGTTAGTATATATATGGGGCACCGAATTGAGCATGGTATTATAAGGGTTAAACAAAGGCAAACAAACATGCACGAACAAGAAAATGTTACAATTAATATCTGTATTAAGAAATTAATAGGTATATGTTAAAATCATCGTGAAAAGATATGTATTTCTTGCAGTAATAATGTTGGATCCTTAACATTGAGACAGACCAAATATAAATTATAGCTACAGCTAACTGAAAGACGAATGAAATTCTTTAAATGTTCTTACAGACATAAGCAGACAGATAAATTATCAACACGCGACTGACAATTTCAGTTCAGCATCAATCGGGTTTTAACAAAATGTAAAAAATAGTCAAATTAAATTGTAACGAAAATACTTAGATGAAGTCAAGCTAATAGTTATTATAGTCAAATATATTAATGGACAAAAATGATCACTATTTCCGGTTGTGGCAACCGTAACATTTTTTCTGTATACAAATATTAATTGTATTTGTTTAATTTTATGTTTGTACCGAGGAAGACAAAAAATGTGGTCTAAACGTTTACACATTTATGTATACTATGTATACAAATAAATTTTGTATTTACTTTTTGTGCGTTGGATCTTTTTTTATTAACTTTCTATTAAAACTCCGGGCCTTAATTTATTTATAATACTTTATATTTAATAATACCGCTAATCAGAAAAAGACATTCCAAAGACATATATCGTGATTATTCTCTAATAACACACTTTATTCGATACATCCTTAGGACGTCCTCAGGATATTCAAATTATGTACTATGTGGACGCCGCTTGTTAGATTTTGTTTGCCGCAAAAAGAACGTCGCGTACACGCCAAGTTAATTACGTGCTACAATTCATTACGTAACGGCACATAATCAGGAAGAATAACAGCTCGTATAAATCAGTTTTACTGTAACGCGCTTGCCGTTTTATGAGAAACCAAAATCTCCGTGCGATGATTCCCTTACCCGCGTAAATTACATATTGTTGTTGTATGTATATACTTAACGATCTTAAACTATGTCCGTTTCTACTAATTGTAAGTGAAGATTTACTTTAACCTCAGTTTATCTTACTTTTATCTTTTTCTATATTCTTAACAAGAAAATACACACTTTAAAGTATCCATCTCCGAGTTTATTGAGCTTTTTACTCAATTGTTTCTACCGTTTTATTTATAGAATATCTTTCCATTTTTTGGGGTCGATATTCAATTGGTTCTTATATTTAGAACCGTCTTAAGTACAGTTTTAAAATACAAACCAATCACAGAGTCATATTAACATGTTAAGATATTGCTTAATTAAAATGACCTTGAAATAAAAACGAATTATGAAAATCGGCCTTGGATATGCTTAGGTTGTACACTTTAATACCTGAATTAATCTGTAATGAGTGATGACACTGATGACGTCATTATATAAAGATGCTTTACCTCATTTACAATTAGACTCGTAGAAATAAATTATTTTGTCACAAAAATATTTACCTAAAATGATGCTACTTACTGCATGAATTAGGATCTCTTGCATTTTTCAATAATAAAAGAGTACAGCAGGATAAGAGGTGATTGTAGGCACTTGCATATCATTGATTGCCACAGAGCGCAAAATTAACACTCTAAAGAAAGAATATTTTATACAAAGTTTCATCCCAAAAGAGCCACACCGAGATATCGAACAAAAAATGTGTAATTTTCATTAGTATCTTTTTTCTCCGTTAAATCTAAATGAATTTTTACAAAAAAAGTCATGGATATAAACAGTATCAAAAAGATTAGAGTAAGAATTTGTTTTGCCATTCTTGGCTCAAAATTCTGTTTTAAAAAATTCAGGACTTTTTAAAATCACATTTTTTAACCCGTGTGAAGCTGGCCCCCCAATATTAAAAAATCGATTTTTTAATATTGGGGAGTTTTAACACGGGTTAAAAAATGTGATTTTAAAAAGTCCTGAATTTTTTAAAACAGAGTTTTGAGCCAAGAATGGCAAAAAAAATTCTTACTCTAATCTTTTTGATACTGTTTATATCCATGACTTTTTTTGTAAAAATTCATTTAGATTTAACGGAGAAAAAAGATACTAATGAAAATTACACATTTTTTGTTCGATATCTCGGTGTGGCTCTTTTGGGATGAAATTTTGTATCTACAAAATATTCTTTTGTTAGAATGTTAATTTTGTTCCCTGTGTCAATCGATTACGTGCAGGGGCCCAAAATTACCTCCTGATCTTGCTATACCCTTTAATATTCACAATTATAAAGTTCATGTGTTATTATATCTTAACGTCCTACTTATAGAAAGAACTGATTTCGCTACTTGTGGTTCTGTTATCAGGATAATTTTTTCCATCTTTTTTGTTATATTATCAACTATATTTACAGAGCCTGGACTAAGATATGACAAACGGGACACTTGCCTCATTTAAATTAAAATTGTGAAGGTGTGCAAAAATGAGAATATTATATATATTTTATTTAACAGTGACTATATTTATCTGCCGTTGAGCGCTCGTGTATATTACAATAAATGAAAATGAAGTATGTAAGGATATAAATTTTGGTTAAATTGATTGACAGTTTTGCTATTGTGGAAACGATTTTTTCTTTTGCCTTGGACATTAAAATATTTAATTTTGGCTCTCTAATATTTAAAAATGTCATTAAAAATCAATGAAAAGAAATCGGGAATTAATGGATTAATATGTTGTTGAGTAAACCAAATAAGAAATAAGTATTTTTCTTTATATGTGCGTATACGTTGTTTTACAGGACGAAACAAAAATTTATTAGCGTTTATTTATTTTCTAAGCGGTTATTGTCAAATAGAAAAGATGGAAAAAAGTTTTTTAATAAAAATTGAAGGATTTCAAGAGTATTATAAAATACTTTTGAATAAAATACTCTCAATCATAAATTTTTTTTTATAAAAAATAAAAAGTTAATATATTTTTTATTGTTACTATATAGTACTTAAAATCCACTGTTATTTAAAATATTAAATGCATAATAATGTAATGTTTAACTTAAAATGGTGTTTAAATTAAAAAATTTAAGGGTGAGCGCGATATTTATATCGCGATATTTATAGCTGTCTGATTACTATTTGTCATATTTACATTTCCATTACATTACTGTCTCGAGACGCGATGAAAAAATACGAGTATTGTATGCAAATACATGACAAAAAAAACAATCATAAATGTCGCACATATAAATACTGCGATATAAATATCTTTTACTCTTAAATGTTTTAATTTGAACACCATTTTAACCATCTGTTGCTTTGTTTTTCCGTTTTAAATACTGGAAATTCGACATTTTTATCGTGTATCAGAAAGTAATTTTGAAGATATGTATATGTAAATTTGCTTTAAAATTATATATTTTACAATCATTTATTGAAAAACGGTTGGATTCAATTTTGAAACCTGTCAACTGCATATAATAGTCGACCACTTTCATTATACGGAGCCATGAGCTACCCTGCAGTTTCTAGATTTATATCCCAAAAATTTTAACGTGAAAGAAGGGTGATGTAAAAATAACCGTAATTATTACATGTTGACCAAAAATGCTTTTATTTACTAATATAGAAATTCATATTTACTTACAGAGTAATTATAAGCCAGCTTGGTCAATAAGAAGTCTGTAATCAAAAGTTGATAAGAATATATACTTGTACTGTAATGATGGAGATTTGTTACAATTTTTTGTAACAAATATGATCCATCTTGGTAAAACGTGTACTGCCTCCGTTTTTATCAATCTTTGGTAAATAGTCGATCATAAAAAATTGTTTTCTGTGTCTTACATTTTCGATAATATTTGCTTTAAACGAAACTAATTAATTTTTATCAAAAAAATGTTTCTTAAAATAAAGTTTAAAAATACTTATGCATGTATAAAAAAATACGCGTTGTAATTCTTTTTTTTTTTTAAGATCTAAATAACATATTAAAAGCTCATCAAATTTGGAGGAAAACACTTCTGTGTATCTTTTTGTAAGAATTAAAGGAAAATAAAAAGTAAATTGAACTGAGATAATATCGGTCATCCGTCGCATATTTACGAATACATACAATGGTTTCGTAAACGATTTTGTATAACTATTGATTGATACATAGGAATATATATGCAGCCGCACATACATATGTCCGTAAGATTTTAACAGAAGTGCATGTCTATGTGTGTATATATTTGTACGTAAAGACACAATGATGATGCTGGTGGGACTCTCGCTGTGTGCGCGACGAGAAGTGTCACTAATGAAGTCGTACAGGCGTTTCCGATTGTCGGCTCGACTCGATCCAGTACCAGTCTGCTTTGATTTGACTCGGTGCATAACCTCGAGTCAAGTCAAATCGGAAATCACGACCTCGAGCCGATCGGATCAGAGCCAAGAGTCATGCGACCAAAGTCAACGGACCGCATTACGATATTTCAGGTGATAAGTTGCGACAAAAACATATGCACACTTCAAATTACGGATACAACGGGGTCCCATCAGTTTCCCGCTATGCAGCGGCTCTCTATAAGCAAAGGTCACGCCTTCATCTTGGTGTACTCGGTGTGCTCACGGCAAAGTCTCGAGGAGCTACGTCCAATCTGGGCCGTGATAAGGGAGCTCAAAGGCCAAGATATCTCGCAGATACCCATTATGTTGGTAAGGACTCGCCGCAATCTTCTCCATTTGTTTCAGTTTTCAGTTTCAGTTTTTTTTCCCGATGCCGAAGCCGACAGTAAATACGAACGGACAGTAAATACACTTCCGCGTTTCTCGTCTTTAATAAATATGTCGTCCTGCTTATCTCACGACTTTGCAACTTTCCGCAACTCAAATAATCATAAAAAAACGTTAGAGCGATATTATTTCGTGCGTACGTTGTCAACTTGATAAAAGATGTTCGTCGAGATAAAAGTTTAGATGATACGAACCGCGATGTACAAACCGGCTGATTCTAGGATGTAGCGAACAAAACATTTTTTTTTTTTTTTTTAATTTAAATGGGCACAAAAATAATATTATAAATTTTTTCTATATAATTTTTATTTATTTGCTGCTAATATAATTGCCCGTTATTATTGACCTGCGCTCGTTTTATATTAAATAAAAATTAAATATATATATATGTAAAGATATAAATTTTGATGAAAAATATTTGACTTCATTACTATTGAAGCATGTGAAAAATATTACTTCAAATGAAAAAAGTTTCTATAATGATAATAAATAATAATAAGGCTCTGTAAGAATAAAACAAAATAGAACAACTGAAGGGCCAGTTATGTAAAGTTATATAACTGGCTCTTAGACCTTAAATTGTTCTATTTTATTTTTTTCCATAATAAATTTTTACAAGAATTAATAATATAAATGTAAAATATATCACACGCACATATTCCTGATTTGACTATAATTTTAGTAATTATGTTTTGTTTGTAACATACATGTGCACGTAATTTGTATATTTGATTATCTCTTATTGAATTAATATTAATATATTAACCCTCCGTTGTCAAATTGGACTGTGAAGACACAGTCGATATTTTGATTATTATGTATTTGATAGATAAATTTAAATGTAAAATCAATTAAAATATAATTTGATTTCTCTGTAATAAAAAAAATTGTTTAAACTTTTTCAAAGGCAAGATTTTTTTCAGATTTTTATACAATTCAGAACAATATAAAAATTTGCACTAAAAATAAAAAAACCAGATTGCTGACAAAAAGTGCAAAATTTCACATAGCTAACGGAGAGAGTTAAATATCATTAATTATAATATATTTTATTATATTTTCACATGAAATTTTTATGTAAAAGAATTTTTTGTTATTGAGGGACGCATTTTTTCTTTTATATCGAAATATCTATATAGTCTCAGCTGTCGCAATGTGTCTGCATTAAATTTTACTGTACAGTCATTCGCAGTATTCGACATTCTTAATACAATAGTTTTTTTTTAAATGCATTTTGATGTCGTATTTGAATTCAAGATTTAAAAAACAGTAGCTTTGAAAATTTACCATTATCCAACAATTTTCGTGGACAAAAATTTGAAGAAATTGTTAACGTTACAAATTTGCATTGCTTCTTGAAATTCAATTGACTTGCGATTTGATTTGGTTTCGTCATCAAAAAGAGGGGATTTCTATTTCTGCATGAAACCCTCTTACTTGAGTTTCTTTGTCGGTATTGTTTTTCTTGCGCAACTCAGCGGTTCCATCGTTGATTCATCGTCCAGGTTGGGAATAAGTGCGATGAGAGTCCATCAGTGCGTGAGGTGTCGATGAGCGAGGGCGCGGCCGAGGCGGCCAACTGGGGCTGTGGCTTTCTGGAGACCTCGGCCAAGACGAATCACAACGTGGACGCCCTGTTTCGGGACCTGCTCACCCTCGAGAAGAACCGCTCGGTCTCGTTACAGCCGGTGCAGAGCAACAACGCGATAAGACTTAAGGAGAAATGTGCCGTTATGTAAAAATCCACGCTCCGATCTGCATCGCGTATACGTAGGTTGCTCTGAAAGTTTCCGCGATATGACATTAGACGTCGTGTCACATCAAAACTGTTGATATCCTAACTTTATTTCATCTATTAATAACACTTTTGCCTTTGACGCATCAGCAAATATTCATTCGTTCAGTCGTGAGACATGTTCGAAGTTGACACTTTCGAAAGAAAATGAATTTATCACGAGAACACTTTCGCGCGATGATTCTCTACGATTTTAAGAAGTTGCTAATTCCGTTACAATGTGTCGAGTCTTCGTTCGACATTTGGCGATGAAGCACCATCTCAAAGGACTATTTATGAATGGTACGCGAACTTCAAGCGCGGTTGAGTAGAATTCATTGACGAATCTCGTGAAAGTCATCCTGTCACGGCGCGGGTCACTCCAGAGAACGTCGATGCTGGATGTAACTTATTGCAAGAAGACCATCGCACGACTTACAGAGAAATAAAAGGCATCCCTAGGCATTGGTATGACACAAATCAAAACAATCTTCCATGATCATCTTGGCGTCAGAAAAACTGCGTGCTCGTTGGATACCGCACAATTTAACGGAGGCCCAAAAAGAGGCGTGTGTCAAATGGTGCGAAGAAATGCTCAACAAATGTGATCATGGTCGGTCCAAAGTAGTGTACGATATCATAACAGGTGACGAATCGTGGATTTATTGCTATGAACCGGAAAGCAAGCAACAATCGAGTGTGTGGGTGTTCCCAGATAAGCCGCATCCAACAAAAGTGAAGCGCGGCAGAAGTGTTGGGAAGAAAATGATTGCATCGTTTCATCAGGAAACCCGATCTTGTTGTGTCTGTCGCGCTTGAAAATCGTCGTACACAACGATTGTCCTGCCGACTGTATTTGAAAAAATTCGTCAAATTCGGTCAAGATCGCGTATCATATTGCATCAAGACAATGCATCGTCGCACAATGCAGAGGAGACAATTCAATTTTTGGACACTGCCCATGTAAAATTGATGACTCATCCGCCTTATAGTCCAGATCTAGTACTTTGTGACTTCTTTCTGTTTCCATACATCAAGGATGAAATACGTGGTTTGAGGTGTAATACGCCAGATTCGACGGCGTTCGAAAATATAATGTATGAGGTGCCTCCAGAAAGATGGACAAAATGCGTCGACGATTGGTGTTATCGAATGGAAAAGTGTATTCATTGTAACGGAGAATATTTTGAGAAACGATAAAGCCAATTTCTGAAATTAATTATATATATATTGTGTACAATTTTGCGGAAACTTTCAGAGCAATCTACGTATGTCCGACGACTACAACGACGACGATAGGTACTTGCGATCGTCCGGGCACGGCGAGGCTCTCCGGAAACGTTGGTATCCTCGGATCTGTCGTGCTTCGAGACGAGACGCCTCGCCGCTGTCCGCCACCGAATGATATTCCAAAGCCGGTTTCGCCAACGACGGACGACTTGTTCGCGACTTGTATCCCTGATGGCGGATTCCGCCTCTATCTCATCAAAAGGTTTACAGCGCGTCATACTTACTTGTTACGTTCGTACAAACGCGCGGGCCTAGAGAATATCTTTGCGAAACTTCGAATTTTTAAAATAATTTTTAAGGATCTTAAGAGACAGTTTTTAGAATTTTCAATTCCGAGAACGTTTCTGGGCCTTGATGAGTCAATTAAGGGTGCGACCTGAGGAAGGCAGGAGGCACTTTTAGTCGACGAACGCGAAGGAATTAACTCGAATTTATGTGTGCGTTGTTCGTCGATGGTGAAGCCTTTTTTACTTTTAAGTTACGATACTTTACGCAATAGATCGCCGTTCGACCGCGTATAATTTCTCCGTGCTCGATGATATGGCAAGTTACTTGAGAGTTCCCGTTTCTTGTTTTTGACTCTGTCATGGGATCGTCCGCGGTAATCTCGATCTGCGACGAGGATCAGCAAAAGCAACGATACCAGTTTTATTATCAGGAACAGTCGCGCGTTTCGCTGCTGTTGATACGGGACGTCTGGCATTAATTGTAATAATAGCTATACGTTTAGCAAAAAAAGCTTTACGACTATTATAAGTTTTCTTAATATAATGATCGATTTATACATTTAGATCCAGTGCGGAACTAAAGACAAGAATCAATTATATAATAGAAGCTTACAACAGTTGCAAAGTTGCTTTTTCTATACGTATTGAATACAGCTGAGCTCATCAATACGTTGCAAACTTATCATTACTGTTTTCATTTTAGAGCGAAAATTGCTTTTTATAGGAAAGATTTGTTTCACGTTATTGTCAACAATCTGATTATATTTACATATTTTTACAAAAAAATTTTCTATAAATATCACATATCTAGTTCTTATTCCAATAGCAACGATATAAATGAATAATAATAGTAGCAACAACATAAAAGTCGTAATTAATTATAATTAATTCCTCAAAGCGAGAAAAATTCGAGTTCTCGCGATTATTGTAATCGCTTCTTATCGTAATTAGCTGTCCATCTAATATTAGCAACGGATAATTAGTAATTCCTGTAATATGAAATCTCTTGTCCGCAGTGCCGAAAAGACCCCGATGAATTAGCGTCGTATAAATCGATTATGATTATATTATCAGTATAATCGTTCTCGCGGAACTCTCGCTTTCTTTTCAGTTTTCACTGAAATATCCCTCACATCAAAATCGTTTCTTTTGCATACGTATAAACAACGAATTATCATGGAAGGTCGACAGAAACAAGGCACGGTTTATTTATGGGATTTTATCGCTCGCGATCGAGACAATCCGCGGCAAAAAAACAACTGTAAAAGCTCTTTTTCGGATTTCTTAACTTAAAACTGTTGTTTTAATTCAGTAAATTGTTATCACTTGTGAAAAATATTAATAGGTCAAGCACGATCGTAAGACTCGTAACTTATTCTTGTAAAACTTGTAAGAACTAGACTGGAATAATTCTATACGTACCGTAAAATATACAATCGTTCGTAAATATCTAAATATCTGCGATAAAGGTAATAAATAATTGTCTTATTATGATATTGCATAATAAATAAAACATTCCAGCATAAATTCTTGCAAGTCTTACGGGCCTTATGATTTTGCTTAAAATAGATCTATAAAGATGCGCGAGTTCCGTAGAACATAATCCAGCTCGCTAAGCGTTAGAAAGTAAAAAAATCCGTGGAAAAATAATGATAATTAAAAGTTCCAGTGAAATATATCGAATACAAAGCTCGTCAATAACGAATCTATCTAGTCTCGGTAAAATATGTTTGAAAGCCATATGAGTTTGAATGACGAGGGCTTTAAAAAAAGATTCACTCGCAGGGCTATTTAGCGTGGCCTTTTTTCGCGGACCGCCTCAATTTAGCTAAACGTGCTGAATCAATAATAGCCGCGACTGGTACTCTTCCATGAAAATTCCGCAATGCTCCGCAATCGGAGACTACCGCACGACGACTGTAGGGACTGGTGTAATGCGCGCGCGTAAAAGTTTTTTGTGAGAATGTGACGAAAGAGAGGGAGAGTGCGAGATCGAATGAGAGAAAGGAAGGAAGGGAAAAAGAGAGAGGGAAAGAAAGACGGACAAAGGGTGAAAGTGTATGTGCGAACGATGACGAATAACAAGTAGATAAGAGTTGTTACGAGATTGGTTTTTGTTGAATAGTTATAAGAATTTTGTAATGACTATGCTAGCTAATTAGGATTACTAACGAGCAGCAAGCCACACACACACACACACGTGCGCACGCAAGTTGTATTAATTTATATTATTAGATATGCAAATTCTCACACACTCACACGTACACGTAGGCACAGATTTGTTGACAAGCGTACCGCGAGATATTACGAGATATTATACGTACATATGATACACGTTTTCCATATCGGCGCAGCATTTTTAATGTTTTTTCCAAATGGGAAAGATTAGTCCCGAGGCGTTTTCTAGGCGTATCCACGGGAAACAACTCGAATATAGACAATTAGCGGAGTAATTATACCGTTTTCTTCCTCTCACTCCTTCTTGTCCATCTGCCACCTATCTCTTTTACGGGCACATCATTGAACGTTATCCGTAGTGTTCCTCGTGACGCGTGTTCCCGCAACTTCCCTTATCATCCCGTTTTACGGATATATTAGAGAAGACCGGGGAGCCTCTTCTTCCTCGCCCGACACGTTCCTCGGACCATGTCGCGACGCCGTCGCGTCCGCCGGACGTCCACACGATCGATACAACACGTCGCGCTAACGATGATGTTGATAATGACGATGATGGTCCGCCGCCTGCACTTGAACGCGTCTCGACTACTAGGCTCCGTGTTGAAGGGCCGTATTTATAGCCCGTCGACACTCGAGATGGGTAGTGTCTCGAGTGTGTATCGAGTGATGTGCATACGCTCATCAAGGACCTAAATCGAGCTCCATCGAAGCTAACACACATATCGCGTCCTCGCAATATTATCCCTTCGAAAACTCACCTCGAGTTGGAATATTCCGGACTCGAGGGTTGAAAAAAAATTTCGTTATTAAAAATACCCCTTATCGCACTGAGAGAAACGTGTTTGTGATTATAATTACATGGTAAATTGTTACATGGTTAAGTGATCCATTTTTATATTGCTTTATTATTGCTACGTAACAAGCCTGTGTCCAGTTTTAGCTCCGAAGCCAAAAGGCAAAATTATCGACGTAAAAACAAATTCAAATAAAATTTTGAGGATTGTGAAATGCTGTAAAATGTTACTATAAATGCCGCTTAGATGCGTATCGGCATTTTACAATCCCCGAAATCTTATCTGTATTGTTTTTTTTTTGTGTCTATGATTTTACGTTTTGGCTCTCATAGCCAAAATTGGACTTCTGCTATATAATGTAATAATTGATGAAATAATAATTATATTATTATTTTTGTCAAAAAATATATAGTTGGGGATACAGCAAATAATTTGAATTATTATGACAATTACAGTCATTTTTTATTCTCAGTGTT